AACTGGTAGAGAATGTGGGCACTTAACATGATCTCTTCCTGATCACGGGGAACTGTGGAGGAATGGAACTGAGTTGCCAAGAGACTGGTTAAAAAAAAGGGGGGAGGGAGAAAAAACGGGGGAAGGAGGGTTTTTTTATTAATATCTGTTAGACGCGATGGATCCCAGCAAGTTTTTTGAGTGATGGCTGGACAACCAGCAGAAGCAGCAGATGGTGATCCAGCAACAACTGTAGGCGACCCAACAACAGGAGCAGCAGCAGGTACTGAAGGAACTGGCCGCCTAACAGCAGGCCCAACAGCAGGCTGCAGCATCTCCTCTCCCTAGTTCAACTGAAGATGGGGCTGAGGGTGGCACATTGAGGTTGCCCATACACCTCACAAAAATGGGACCTCATGATGACCCAGGAGCCCACCTGGTTACATTTGAGCAGATCACTGCTGTCACTGGATAGCCACTGGGACACTGGGCCACAGTACTGGCACTATACCTGACAGGCCCATCCCAAATGACCTTCCAGAACCTGGACCCTCATGAGGCACTGGAGTACCCCTGAGTTAAGCCAGGGTCAGCCCTGAGACGTACTGCTAGCAGTTGCACCATGAACAGTATCTGCCAGGAGCCAGGCCCAGAGTCGTGGCCCAGAGGATTCAGGATCACTGCTGGCAGTGGCTACAGCTGGACCAATGGACGGCAGCATAGGTAGCCGATCTGGTAGCCCTGGAGCAATTTGTGTGTGTCTTGCCTACCAGCGGGAAAGAATGGGTACAACAGCACTGCCCTAACACCTTTCACCGAGGCCGTCTCCTTGATGGAGGACTATATGGCAACCAAAGAACCTGAAAAGCTGGACCAGAAACCGGGGAATCTGAGTAAAGAGTAAGCGGGGTGGAGCACGCCATGAGCGGCCTGAAAGGCGTAAAGCCCTGCTTAAGAAGGAGCCAGGCACACCTAACCCATGATAAGAAGAATAGAGAGTTCTAAAGTTAAGGATTTGGAATATTGTTTATCATTCTAATGCTGTTTTGCAATAAACATATGTTAAAATTCAGGGAGAAACGTGGCCTACACAATCTAATTCTTCAAAGCTTTTGTGAGTCTGAGAGGATAGAAATATTAGAAGTAATATGGGCTTCTGTTTTTTTGACTTACAACATGTTGCATACATTAAAAGAATGCTGTTAGGTAGAAGAGCTGCTTTTCCGTTTTACAGATTGGGTTAATAATGTTTCATTATTTTACCTGCTTTAATTAATGTTCAATGTCCTGACTGACTAATGGATTTCAAAAAGTAGTTGCTAGAATCCACTGTCAAACTGAAGAATCAGGCACTAAAACAGTCAGTGTCTGTGCGTTCAATTGACACAGAGACAATAAGCCTTAAGGAAAAACGTATGAAAATAGCAATGAACAAAACAGTTCAGAAGCAAAAGGAGGAAAGAAGAACTGCTTTCTGTTAATTACTGTGTATATTCTTAGACTACGTCTTGAATGTCGACAAATTCAAGCCTGTTTCAGGCTTCCAGACATTCGAATCAAGGCACTGTAGCAAAACTGTCACCATAGCTAACTGTTCCAATGATGCATGAGAACACAGATGATCTTTCAGGAAACCCATAGCCCACACAACACCTTTAATTGTTCCCAGAGCAAAGCACCTTTAAATGTTCCAGAGCAAACTGGAAGTCAGCTCACACTTAAAAGAAGAGATGTAATATGTTCTCCATTGCTAACTCATAGCCGTTAGTGAGCAGCTGCATTCTGCACTAACTATAGCTTTCAAATAGTCTTTGTGGGTAATTCTCTGCAGAGCACACTGCAACAACCAATTTGGAGGTCACAAGAGCTGAGATAACATTTTTGCAAAAAGGGAAATAATCAGTTGCTTATTATCCAAAGGCCAATGGCTACAACTAGAATCCAAACGCACTTCCATTGTGCAGACCACATTGACAAAAGACTGGTGTACCTCGACAAACAGTCACTGTCACCATCATAATGCAGATGCTAAGTGTCTCCCCCTGCTGGGACCATATACAGGTGCAGAAAACCTCAGGTCAATATTACAAAAGGTCATTGTTAGATCTAAAAGCATCAGTATGGGTAGTTGACTTTTGTCCATATCTAAGGGATAATCAATCAATGAAATTTGTGCAATTTGTGCACCTTACCCAAATAAACAGTCAGATTAAAAGGGGTAATCTGAGGGCTCCAGATGTCACCAAAGTGGTCCTACCACAAACTGCAGAATAATCTTCCCCCAAAAGATTATTCCCTTATTATATGTATCAGTGTAATGTAGTCAGCGCTGGTCAGTTTCAGCAGCGGCTAAATCAGGACGCCTGGGGCAGAGCAGCTGGGGAGCTGCTGGGTTGGACCAGGCATAGATAAAACACAAATTAAAGAGATGGTCTCTGCCTTAAAGAGTTTACACGATAATTACAAATTGGCAAATTTCCCTCAACAGGTTTTAGAGTAACGACACATAATCCATAGTTGGTAAAGCTGCCAATATCAAGAGATGTTAATGTTAAGGATGAGTTTAACTCACTAGAGGAATTTGACAACTCCTGTTTCAGTGCCTCAGGACGCTCCAGTGACATCTCCATTTGTTAACAGTGGTCTTTGCTTTGTTTGAGAATACAGGCAGTCCCCGGGTTACGTACAAGATAGGGACTGTAGGTTTGTTCTTAAGTTGAATCTGTATGTAAGTCGGAACTGGCGTCAATGTTAAGGATGAGTTTAACTCACTAGAGGAATTTGACAACTCCTGTTTCAGTGCCTCAGGACGCTCCAGTGACATCTCCATTTGTTAACAGTGGTCTTTGCTTTGTTTGAGAATACAGGCAGTCCCCGGGTTACGTACAAGATAGGGACTGTAGGTTTGTTCTTAAGTTGAATCTGTATGTAAGTCGGAACTGGCGTCCAGATTCA